GTCTTCTTCCAACGTGGTCTTGACTGGGAAACTGCATTCTACCATGGCTGGACTCCCTTATTAAAGGTATACTTGATCGCCGTGGCCGCCCTTGTACTGGTAAGGAACTAGATTCTCTTAGACTACTATTTACTGATGTAATGATAGATTGTCATGAAGTACCGACAAATGATGACCAAGGGTGTCAGCCTCTGCCGTCTTTCCCAGTCAAGACCACGTTGGAAGAAGACATCCAGCATATGTGGTTGCAAGTCCGAATAGCGGAGAAGGAAGACGATCCAGTGGAGAACTTGAGATGTTGTAGACTGTTAGCCAGGCGCACAAGGTCAGTGGATTCGACCGACATAAAAGCAGCATTAACATACAATTCCACCATTTCCTCTAGCAAAGACCCTCGCAATAAGTACAGGAAAAGAGAGGGCAAGCGCCGCGTCCCCTACACGGGCGTCTAGCGTGAGTGCGGAGTGATGCGGGCGAGAATGTCCAACATACCGACGATGCGGATTGAGCATATTGCATAGCTCATGACTGGCGATTTAGGTCTCAAACGAGTGCTGGAATATCCACTGGGTGGACGTGGTTGGGACCAAGCTCGAGATGGCAACGGTGCACTGTTGAAGGATGGAAGGGCGGTGTCGTCGGACTCTGCCAATTCATTCGTGACCACTCTCCCAACGCTCAAAGGGCCAGTAATAGTTATGATTACATGTAATTATACAACATTATTGAGGATCCACAGTTGAATTTAGCTCGTTACGCCACGTTTCAAAATACTGACGATCATCTCCCGCCGAAATAGGCCCTCCTGGCTCTCCAGGATACCCTAAGTCATCACTACGGGTGACGGGGTACTTTACTTTCCCAGCTTCTCCAGCCCAGTCGAAATCGATCAACACCGCTTTCTCTTCTTCGCCTATTTTCAACATAATGTTCGCCATGCGAAAGTCGCCATGAACCATCCCCCCAGATTCCAGACATTCGAGAATTTCCTCCAGTCGTTTCAAGAGGCGGATCTTGGGCTCTTCTTGGATACCATTCCGGTGCCAATTATGACGATAGTCGAATAGCGTGATCCAGCCATCCTCCAAGAGTTGCATGACCGCTACACGCGCAACACCATGCACAATGGAAGTTCCGTATAGCTGAGGAGCCATATTTTGAGCCGCGAGATGGACATGAACGTCGTTCCCATATGGGCGAAGGAGCACTTTCGCAAGCACATTAATTCCGTCAAGAGTTGCGTCAAAGATGAGGTTCAGGTAGTTAATGGTTTGACCCGCAACTTGCCAATGTTCCTTGCGAAGCTTCTTGAATTCTAGTTGCCCGGTTTGATTGGTCTCGCTATTGAGAATCTTCCCGAACACGCGAGGGCAACCTGGTTCGTTTGTTGAAGGTGGTTTTGGACTAGATAAAAGAAAAATTAGAATATGACAGCTAGGATTGAAGATGCAATACTTCATAATCTCATTCTCGACGGTCTTCAAGCAAGAGTAGAGAGCAAAAAGGTGTTGCGCAAGTTGGATGATCCTGCCGCTCTCAAGAGAGTCCGGATATAGTAGATCATATGAGAGCGGTTCTACAACGACTTGCTCCCCATCTTTAAAAGCACCAGCGATCCTAAGCTCTTCATCTGCAGTTATATTAGCCCGGTACTTTCCGTTCAAATCCATGTGGACCAACCGATCAAGCAGCATATGAATGTTGGAGCACCACAGTCCAAAAACTCGGAATGTCGCTCTCTCAATTTCTCCATGTTTATCTCGTACCCCCTACTCGCTTGCATATATGGGTCACCACTATTCTTTCCATTTTTTATCTCCATGAGCACCATATTGACGTCCTTTACTGATATGGCCACGTCAGTTCGTGTCGACGCTGTAGCCCCCCCCGATGTTACTTCCTCTGTTGTTATCCAACCGCGGAAGAGGGGGCGTATCGCGTCAACAAATACGGTCTTTCGAATCTTTTCATCTTTAAAATGATCCCCCATAACGTTGCACAATTTTCTGGCGACTTGCAGTGCAATTCTTGCCTCCTGGGTTGC